CCCCGCTGCGTTCTGAGTCGGGACACGGCCCCAGCCCCGGCTCCGCCCCTGGCCTTGCCCCAGGACGCGCAGAGAGAGAGAGAGGCGGACACGATGCGGACTCGCAGACTTTAAGCAAACAAGTGTGGGGCCGCTCCCGCCTGCCAGGTCAGGTGTCCGCGTGGGTCACCAGCGGGGCCAGGTAGTCCGAGTGTCGGATCCCGAAGCTCCAGCCGCGGGGCTTCCGGTGCTGCGGGCCCGGAGACACCGCTGACCTCGCGGGGCCGGCGTCCTCTCCGCGCCGGGACCCCTGGACCCCCGGGGACCCTGATCCCATCACTCCGACCTCAGGCGCCAGGGCAGGTGCGAGGACCAGGCTGACCTTGTCGCCTACACCCCCTGTGGAATGCTTGTCCACAAGCTGCTGGTGCCAGGCCTCTGGCCACTCCAGCTGCTGCCCCGACTGGGCCAGGGCCTGGGTCAGCACCGAGGTCTCTTCCAGATCCATGCCCTGAAGTCGGATCGCCATCAGCATGGCCCCTGGTATGTGGGGGTACCCGTGAGGGTGGCAGCCCACAGCAGTGGGGCACCCTGGGGCCGCTGCTGGTAGTAGGGCGCTGTCGCACCCCCAGGGACTCATAGTCTCTTGGGCTGACCTCCCGGTCGGGGTCAGGAACGCCCAACCCTCCCCACGCACCGATCTGTGCGCCCTGCGCACTCCCGTTCACCACAGCGGCCACGAAGCCCCTGATGTCCGCTTCGCTCAAGCGGCCTCCGTCTCGCTTCCTGCGGATCAGCTCCGGGAGCTGCTTGGGCTCTGGCGAGGGGTCGAGAAGTCCCTGGCTCCCTTCCCCGGAGAGGTCACCAGGCGCGGGTGGGGCTCCGGTTCCCACCGTCATCGAGGCCGCCATCGCTCCGGGCCTGCGGGGATGCCTGACACGTCCGGGGTCTGCGGCCTCCTGGCATCGGTGTCTGAGCCACGTGCTCCTGTCCCGACCCCTTTCCCGTGTCTCTCCGGTGTCCGCCCTCGGTCCCGTGTCTGTGTCGCCCTTGTCCGTATCTGGCTCCCGCTTCCCGCCCGTACCTGCTCAGGGCGGCTGCCCTCGCCCGCCTGCTCCGGATCCCAGCCCAGGTACCCG